TCATATATCAACATTTCACTGACGAACGAAATTAAGTTCTAGATCTTAAGCTTCGGCTAACAAGGCAACAGCGCAGCTCTCATGCGTTTCAAACACTTGGTTATTTCACATAATTGTGCGTATGAAAACCTTACGATGTTTATGCGATAGTACATAAGGATTATCAGCTTCTGAAATATCCTTGATGATGATCGCGAGACGGCCCTAGCGTGCACAATAATGCGTCTAGCATTGCATGTACTCAAGTATCACAAAGCTGTGGCGTGCCAAAACGCACCCTGTGCAACTATGAGAGGCAGCAGCGCAATATGCGGAGAAAAGAGGTCTTGGAGGAGTCATTCGTTACTTAGCATACTCCGGCGTACGAACAATGTATATACGACAGCATACAAACAGTACCAGCTTCAGAAACTTCGCTCGCGACGAGCACCACGTGGCGCTAGCGGACAAAATGACGTGAGATGCATCTGGCATCACTGTGCCGTGAACTGATCAAATGCCTCCAGGCAACCAGGAGCAGTGAGTTTGTGCAATAAGCCGCGAAATCTGGTCTTGGAGGAGTTATGTTCCCGTGTAGAAAAATATCTGAACAATCAATTTTCGAGGACTGCTCATGTCAGAAGTACATGCCGAAAAGCCGAGGTGTACAACTCTGTATTAAATCGCATTCAAGCTAGCTTTCTATCGAAATGAGTGCCTACTCAACAAACTGTCTAAAACATGCAGATTAACAATGCATCAAGCAGCTCTCTTTTGCAGCGTAAAACAGCACATTAACAGCCGTTTAAAAACACGACAAGCGCAATGTAATTTCAGACGTTTGTCTTTACAAAGTCCATCATCGATGCCGTACGCAAAACATGATATATTCGATAAATGAGTACAGAAATTGATTTTACTGCAAAAAACATATTACTATATTAAATTTCAACAATGTTTAAATTTCAACATTGAAATCGTTTGCTTCAAACATGATGATTCTGATGGAGCAAGATTGTTGTGAGGTTAAATTGAATCACTCATCCATGAACTCATCCATCAAAAGTCATTCGGAAACTTAGTCAGATGTACAATGACCCAGCAGAAATCTCATAAGGAAAAGACCATTAATGAGCGTTTACCGACTAGTTTATCGACTATGCAAAAAGCAAAAAACTAAGAAACTGACAGCTTTTGTCGAACCTGGACACTCATTGTCATCGAATAAAAATGCAGAAGTTTCATACATCTTTACAAATATGAAGCACAAAGAGTGACCGGTTAATTGACAATCTGCTAGCGAAGTGACAGGTAGTTGTGGGCAAGTGTTAATAAACATAAGTGCTTGGAAGTGTACGAGAAGGAAGAGAAAACGAAGGAAAACGAGAATAAATGAAAAGGAATGCGATGAAAAAGAAATGCAGAATATGGATGAGGAATGTGTAAAAAAGAAAAATAAGCGATGACGAAAGAGAAGCAAAAGGATAGGGAAAAAGCTTATATTCAGAGAGGATCTGCAAGGCGAACCATTTCCAGTCGAATGAATACCATAGAAAACGGAGGTAGAAAAAAATCCGATTCGTAACTTTAGACAAAACATCGACTCCAAATATTTCGAGGAGAGGACGATATATGAAGGGCACGTAGATGCGTTGACGGTTTGGTCGATGGTTTATGCGCTAGAGGGAACCTCAACCTGATGCAGTAACTGTACCAACTGACGATTCGATCTGAAAGTAGTGTAGATGTTATACGGCGCTGAAAAAGAAAAGTAAATTAAAACTGACACTTAGATTGTCAGTGTTTCATTGAAACAAAGCATTCTGACGGCTGTCCAAAGGAGGTTTCCGTCCAGTGCACTGAAGAACAAGATTAAAAAGGAAACGGAATAGAGATAAAAAGTGGGCAAGGTGAACGGCAAAGAAAGTACAAAAAACTTAAAACAACATGAGCAAAAAGACTACCGAGTGACTCGGTATTTATTAAAGCTATGCAGGAAGATGTTTCTTCATGCTTTCAGAACCCGGATGCATACAGCAAGACAATTATTATATATCTACAGACAGGAACAGACCATGCTCCAAAGCAGGAGGAGTTGTACAGCTCATTTTGCTCTTTCCAAGCTGATTAAATTTCTAAATTTCCTTTTATAGTTGAACACGGAGAGTTAACTGTTAAATATGTGTGAAGTTGGTGGTATCTTACAATATCCGTTCGGCGACGGAGACAGAAATGACACAAACCGCCCGTACAATGACCTTATCCACGAGATCCTGATGCAATCCTCCACATCTTGCGGATGCCCCATTACAAGAGCGCTGCAGAAAAAAAATCAGCTTCCGTTAAAGAAGCGAAGTAGACTGGAAAAGTATAAGTGATTGTTGGCATCAAAACTACCGCGTTATCGTCAGCGCAAATCAAAAGAGGTTCCAATGTAGAGCTTAACTTACCTCATCTTGCGATGATGTAAATCATGTGATTTGACCAAGATAACCTGTCATTAACGACCACACCAAAATACTTCACAGTTTCAGCCCGGATGACCAACGGTGTATTAGATTAGTTTCTGTTCTAGCAAGGCTGAAGAGACCGTGGTTTTTCGTGTTTACAGGAATAAAGATACTCATTGCTTAAGTTAAGGATGCAGGTTCGACCAGTCTAATAATTTCTTCGTGTCGCTTCTATATTCTTCGAGGTTTTAACGGTTTCTGACAACTGCAACGACGGTATTTAAAGTTCAAAGTAGGTAGCTGGCGAACAGTGTGCACTGACTAGGCATCTGGTGAGATCACGAGAATCATAAAATCCTTTACTATAACAGTTGCCACTCTGAGAAGCCAAAGCGCCCGACATCATCAATCTGGGTACATGGTCATTATGACCCAGATGACGATGGTAACAACAACAACTATACCTGTAAAACGAAATCACTGGAAACCTCCATAATTAATTAACACTACTTTCTTGAAGATATGAATAATGGTTCCAGCTGAAAACAGGATGCGGACAACTGCGACCATTCTTGAAATTAACTTTTGTGCGTGTGCCGGGGGATAAACAGAACTCGTAGACTGGCTTGGCTGATGATTCATAGACATACACCTTAACTACGAGGTTCGATAACGAGTACTCCACAGATTCTACATACACGCGACTATCATTACCGCTTTCTGTGACAGTGTTTATACACTGAATCGATCATATGGTTTCCATGGCAATGATTCATTCATGAACTGGTTTAATCATCATGTGAAAAAATGTGCGCAGTAATACAATGAATATTTGCCTTGCAAGATCGGATAACACATACTGCCATCTAAAATGAAATTTTGATTTGCAATGCAACCCATCAGTAACGAGGACAGCGAAGACAGATAAAATACATAAAATTTAGACCTCTCTAGTGGAAGGGCGAGAAATTCTTCAGTCGTACGGTGGAGAAAGAATTCCAAACTTCTGAGTCTGCTGATGATCTTCGGAGTCGCCTTCTGGATATCAGCTATCCTTTCATTGTATACAGACAATCCGAAGCAACACGCATCCCTATCTGGTCGTAATCAAGAGTTGCACTTCTGGCTTCGCTTCGCCTGCTACTTGAAGAAAAGATGACAACTGCAGTAGTATTACTGTCTGATCCAAGTTCGGCAATGAGTAGGCTACTGGTGAGGGGGGGGCTCCACGACTAGCATTCCATGTATTCGTTACTTCAAAACGCAAAAATACTTCTGAAATTGTGAGTGCATTCCATGTTGTTGCTGGCAAAATTTAAGAAATGGGGCGATGCAGGATATCAATCCAATGATATCGGTCGATCTGAAATGGAAAGCTTGGCCTAGTCAATCGCATCCCTAGGGTACGCTTCCATGTGCGTGGCTGGAGCAACGTCATCCGTCGAGAACACGAACATCATTGCAATTTCTGTTAACATAGTCATAGCCCTTTCCTGACCATCAACAGCCATACCTAACCGCTTAACTGTTCAAAAGCAAACACTATTAAGTTTATCCCCTAACCTTCTTATACACATCCCACCGTAACATCAGCCAGACACCATCGATCACACGACAAGCTGCTGCTTGACGTTAATCACATGATATTACGACGCTGTCACATCTGACATCGAACGAGAAATCTGTTTAGCAACCCGCAAGTAGATGAAGCAATGAACTAGTTTCAACTTCCTGCAATACAAAAGTGCCGCGGGGAACCGCATCTCTGTTTCGACTCGACAACTATGCGAACAAAGACAGAGATGTTGTACTGTCACATTAAGCTGGTATCACGCTCTTGATAAATTTTTGAAGAAAAAAACTGACGGAGGCATTGGAATAGACTTCTCGCCTAAATCGGGTAGATTTCCTTATGGATCTCCTTGCGTTAATTAGGTAAATTTTTAAACAGGATACTCATGTCTTAACTAAATTTTTACACTTCGTAGAATCACCGAGCAAACTGACAAATCCAACTGTCTTGGTTTCTTTAGCTTCATGATTAAACTTGATTAAGTAGTCATTAAATCAAGTGAATTTAACAAAGTTACAAATTTACTGAGCACAGCATCTCCCCAGTCGAAAAAATGCGTACATAAGCCATGTCCTTCGGAAGAGTTCAACGAGTGTCCAATGCTATCTATGTGCTATTCCATAGTTTTCGCCTTTCTTCTACGAAATAGAGCCATTCCAGGCAAAGGCCAGTCTTA